CCATTCATTGCCTTCAGGCCTTTCTCACAGAGCAAGTTCTGTACTAGGTCCAAAAATTTCTGGGGGACTTGGAGGCTTCGCACTGGCTTTGGACGCACCAGGCAGGGAGCTCGCACAGCCCCGCGCAGTTACTGCTCTGGCCCACCAGGTGGCCCGGGGATGGCTCCAGAGCCGCGTGATCCCGCGCCCCGCGCCGGGAGTCCGGGGGGATGCCCACTGCACCCCCTCCCCCCGTTCCTCCCCCCCCCCGCGAACTTCCTCGGTCAGCTCGCGGGCCTGCTGAAAAGGGGGGCGCTGAGCTCCACGTCAGCCTCGGCGGGGACCAGGAAAGCGGGCACAGGGCCAGGCCTCCCTCGCGGCTCTCGACCCCGCCGAGTCAGAGCCTCCCCGAACCTTTGGTTAGCTTTTCCATCTTCGATCTGGGGCCTGCTGTGTCCCCCGAAATCCTAAAGGAGATACGCGCCACAGCTCGGGTTAGCAGTTGGTAAACTGCTCGCTCTCAGACATGGCTCTTCTTAAAATGCGAGGCAAAGGCTCTCCCGTCGCCGGCCGGGATCCGCGTCTTGACCTGTCGGGGTTCGAGGGCCCGAGGGATCCCAGAGCGCGCGGCCAGGGAGCCGCGGGCACCCGCCTCGCTAGGCGCTTGCCAGGGAAGCGTCCCCTCCGGCGCGGGTGCAGGAAGGACCAAAGCCGAAAGAATGAGGTAACCCACTCATCCCCGAAAGATCCAGGCTCACGCCCGACTCGTAAAATGTAAAGTATCTCAGAGCCTCAACCAGGTAAAGGAAGCTGCCTTGCAACTCTAGAGGGACCATCTGTTTGGGAAATGGCGCCACCAGATGGCTGCAGCGAGTCCCACGGAGATATGCCCGGGCTGGCAGGCTACTCGGTCCCACAGGAGCAGGGATGGCCGGAGACCACCGTCCTAGGAGGAGAAGGGACATCACCCAACCGGCAAGCCGGCCTGCTCGTGGATGAAAGCCAAGCGAAACACCCAATAAGTCAAGTTGCCTCCCTAAGGCCAGCATGTGTAACACCAGCAGCTGGACCACTCACCACAGTATGACCCGGTTCCAGTTACTTAAACCCTCTGTGCCTCAGTTTCTTCGCGACTACTTAACGAATTTGCAAAATAATAATCATATTCATCTGCCTGGTAGCAGTGAGAATTTCAGGTGACATGGGGCCCGCAGTCTGTTAGTGAAGCCTCTTGTTGTGGGCTGGGGGATTGCGGTTCACTAGGCTCCCCAGTCTGCTAGGGGCCGCCCTAGCTAACTCCATCCTTCCAGACTCAGGAGTTGCTGTAAAGGCTTAAAGCCTCCCAGAAAGCCATGCCTTTTAATAAGAAGCAGGTGTTAGAACTCAAGGGGTTTGCTCCTTGGGGTGTTCTATTCCAGGAGAAGTGGTTGTCCATAGGTAGTTTTATTTACTTGCAGCAAGTAAACTCCAAAGCTGTCTCCCCAAAGGGAGGCTTACTTAGCCCTTGCTTATACACTATTTGGTTAATTACATGTTGATTTCTTCTCTGCAGTTGGCTACACCTATCCAGATGAGTCCTGGTCAAGTTTATCAGGTTTACAGTGTCACAAAATAATGTGCTACATTTTAACCTGTAGTAAGAATAGCATTTAGTAACAGGCCAGATCTTGAGTCCTTTGTCCTACCTAACCAACCGAAAGGAAGAGTAGGTCAGGGCTGCAGTTATTTGGGGACTGAGAAACTTGTTGCCGATTCGAGGCTGTCCGTCCAAAGCCGGTGCTGTATTTTGAGAATTAGGAAACCTGCATATTACACGTGTTCTCCCACTTCTTGCTTGCACTCCCTCTCAGAAATAAGCCCATATGCCTTAACTTTATTATTCGCGAGTGGGAGCGGGAGGCTGCGTTTCCTGGACTCTTCGCGGATGCAGAGCAGACGCAGGGGTCGTAGACCCTTTCTGCAGAGCAGAAATTCTAAGAATGAGAGCCAGGCCCGAAACCCTTGCATCTACCACGGCCGCATTGTTCTGTTGAGATGGGCGGGAACTCTCTCTGTGCCACAACATCATTCTGTGCCTAGACATCCGGAAACACTAAAGCAGAGCCGTGGGGACAAATCCAAAACACAGATTGTCGAGGATCTTCTTCAGGCCTGCAGTATTTGGGTGGGATGTTGTTCACTGGGTGCGTGGTGAGGCTGGGGTGGGGGAAAGAGTACCAATCCCATCACCAGGGACCCTGGGCATGCAGCTTTAAGTGGGCTGCTCGGAGGAATGGGGCACCCACAATCACTTACCCTGTGTTTGGGTGAATAGTTTCCTTTCCTAAAACCGGCAAAGACTAAATGGACCAGGGGGGTGGGGGCTGTAAGTATTGACTCTCGGTTTGTGAAAGCAAAAGCCTTCGGCGGTTTTCGATAAATGGCAAGGATCTGCGACGACCAGTAGGCCTGAGGGCCAACCCCGAGCGCAGCGGAGTCCGGACGGCTGAAGGCGCCGCGGCGTGGCAGCACACAAGTGTGCGCGTCTCTCTGCAGTTGCACAGCGACCCCGGCTGGGGAGGCGCGCCGCCACCTTCTGCAGTTGCACAGCGACCCCGGCTTGGAGGAGTCACCAAGCATCTGCTTTCGTGCGCTTGTCACAAGGTCTGCGCTCCGGTCGCAGCTTCCATGGCAAGTTATTCTCCTGTCCGCCCTCAATCACTATGTCCCGTGGCCGTGCCTGTCACGTGGGCATCAGCTCACCTGGGCGCGCACGAGCAGAGAAGGAAAAGGAGTGGGACGCGGCGCAAAGTGGGGAAGATGACGCAGCCTGTGCAGGATGAATTAGAGGCTGGGTAGCGCGGGTACGAGGAGGGCCGCTGGCCCCGGAACAAGGCTGGTTAGAGCCGGACAGTAGGCGCCGCGGTGTTTGAGGCTCCACTGCGGCTCCCAGCTCCCCCTGGCGGCCAGCGGGGCCGTGCGGGCTCCCCAAACAATGCCGCGGGCCCGTGGGACGCCTGGGCCGCGCGGCTCCCGGGTGTGCGGTGGTGCCCCGCCTCAAACAAGCCCAGTCAGCTCTGGGCTCCTAGAGTCCTGCGCTAGGGGGTGTGAGGAAACGAGGAGACCCCAGAAAAAAGTGTTGGGGCCCAGGCGGTGGAGGCGGGAATGCCCTCATTCCACCCCCGGGCCCGAGTCCCAGAATCTCACTCTGTTCAGGTTCTGATTAGCAATTTAATTCGAAATGTTTTCGTTTCATTTGGGGTTTATTTTCAAAACAGTGTGTCTTTTCGTACCCTTTGGGGCTTTAGTTAGAAACGAAAAGGCCCACAACCAACTCGGCAGAGGAGCGGCCTTTCGCTCCCGCCCCTTCCCCAGCAGAGCACCCCTGTCAAAGGACTTCGGGGGACTCAGATTCTTGTTGTCCAGAGGATGCTCTCCCTCCGGATGGCGTCTTTCTCAAGCAGATAACAGAATAGGCTTTTGCAACCCACACATAATCCCTGAAGCAGTGGGACCACAAAAAGAGCCGGGCGACTTGCACAGGGCGGGCCGCCAAGGCCAATACATCTTTCCGGAAGGAGGGAAAACAGGGAGGCGGCGGACACAGCCTGTTGATGGCTCTGAGTGGCCGGGGAGTAATAATGAGCCCACTTTACATATGAAAGAACTTTGGCGGGCTCGCTCTTCTAGGATTATCCTTTGGATCTGCACCGCAACCCCACTTGAGAGCCTGAGGGGGCGGAGACGATCTGCCCCTAGGGAAGACTTGGGGCCCTTAGGGGAAAGGAGCCCCACTACCACACACCTTCCCTCTGCTGGCACCCCATTCCATTTTACAGCTGTGAACTTACCGGTTTTGCATTCATTCCTCAAGGGCACTAGAGCTACAGCTCCACGAAGGGAGGGGCCGGCCTGTTTGTCACCTCTGCACACGAGGCGTCCAGCACAGTGCCTGTTGGCATACGCAGGATGACCTAATCAACTCTGCCAAGGCCACGACTAGCACTCGTGGATCTCTAGACAGGGCTGCTTCCTCTGCCTCCCGTTCCTTCCCAGGCTGCCCACCTGGCGAATTTTCTACCAGTCCTTTATGCCCATTACTACCCCTTCCAAACCATGCCTGGGGCTCATTCTCCAATTCTCCCGAGCGCCCCCCTGCAAGGCGCGAGTGTGTGTGTGTGTGTGTGTGTGTGTGTGTGTTAGGGTCTGGCTTGAGTCATCCCATTCACTTAAGGAGGGAGGGCAGGTCTTCTCCCAAACCGGGAAATGGTGGGCAGCTGAGTGTAATTCAGGGGAGACTCTGCAGAGGCGTTTCCACAACAGCACAATCTAGACACTCCAACAAAATAACAACCCCAACACTTTCTTTTCTATGTCAAAGTTTTGCTCCTACGACTTTATTGATAATTCTGATTTTTAAAAGGGCAGCGGGTAACGCACCGCACGGGGTGGCCCAGGTTGAAAACTGGCTGGAGATTAGAGAGGAAACCAAGCTCGCCTAGGCGGCCTGGGGCGGGCAGGTCCCAGGTGCAAGCCGAAGGCACAAAGATCCCGATGACTGCTGGCTGGCGCCAGGGGATGCAGTTCCACCGCGCAGCCGGGGGCCAGAACTGAAACTTCAGGATGGGGTCAAACAAACCCTGGCCGGGAACTCTCGGGGGGCGGAGTGTGTTCCCGCCGGGACCGGGCGGCAAGGCGGCCCATCGCATCCCCGGGATCCCACTATCTCTCGCAACACGCGCTCCCACACGCTCGCTGTTGGGGCGCAGCTGCCAGGCTGGTCTATTTGTTTGTTGTTTAAAACAATCCAAGAGCGCACGCTCGGCAGCACGTAAAGGTAGCTGGGGGGCGGGGGGGGGGCAGCCAGAATTTCCTTCCAGGGAGCGCATGAGGGGCATTCTCAAAGGAAAACCAGACCAAGTGAGTAGTGACCAACCCTCCTCAGATTACTCTCCACAGGCTCCTCCCTTGCTCCCCCCCCCCACCTCCAGATTTGCATTAAAAAGGCCAAGAAAACTCTGGCGGGGCCCCAGCGTCGGCTCACACTGCTCCCCGGGTCGGAGCCTCCCGGAGCTGCGCGCGGACTTGCAGCACGAAGCCGAGTGGAGAGCTCCTCGCCCGCGCAGTGCTACCCGCGCCTGGCCTCTCGGCGCTTCCGCCGCCCCGCCGCCCACTTTCCAGGCCCCCGAGCCGCGCCAAGCGAGCAAGCGAGCGGGCCCGGGACGAGCTCCGGCCCCGGCCGCCTCGCGCTTCCCCGGCTCGGCTCCTTCCGCCCCCTGGGGTCGCGCGCCCACCATGCCGCAGGGCCCCGGCTCGCTGCTGTTGCTGGTCCTCGCCTCGCACTGCTGCTTGGGCTCGGCGCGCGGGCTGTTCTTCGGCCAGCCCGACTTCTCCTACAAGCGCAGCAATTGCAAGCCCATCCCGGCCAACCTGCAGCTGTGCCACGGCATAGAGTACCAGAACATGCGGCTGCCCAACCTGCTGGGCCACGAGACCATGAAGGAGGTGCTGGAACAGGCGGGCGCCTGGATCCCGCTGGTTATGAAGCAGTGCCACCCGGACACCAAGAAGTTCCTGTGCTCGCTCTTCGCCCCAGTGTGTCTCGATGACCTGGACGAAATCATCCAACCGTGCCACTCCCTCTGTGTACAGGTAAAGGACCGCTGCGCTCCGGTCATGTCTGCCTTCGGCTTCCCCTGGCCCGACATGCTCGAGTGTGACCGTTTCCCCCAGGACAACGACCTCTGCATCCCCCTCGCAAGCAGCGACCACCTCCTGCCGGCCACCGAGGAAGGTAAGCCTTCCTCTCTATTCCCCCCTCCCCGAGCTCTGCTAAGACTTTCCGGGGGAGGAAGGGAATCCTGAGGTCCCCACCCCTCATCATGATGCGTCCCTGTTGGGGTGCCAGTCCTGGTGGAATGCGTGCTCTCCTTGCCTTGGTGTGTCATCGTGAAAAAATCTGAAATACATATACACACACACAACACATACCCAAGCCTCTCATCCCCTTCCCGAGCACAGTTTTTAAAAAAAGAAAGAAAGACAGAAAATGAATAACTGAAAAGCATCTTTTCCTTAAGATATGCAATTATTTTTGCTGGGTCGGGGGTAAATGTTGAGAGTCCTGTGTGGAGGAGTTGGTGCGCATCTGGCCAGAGGCTTCTTGTTCAGCCTCTTGCAGCACATTCTCACCACTGGCCAGGATTCTAGGCACAGGAACATTTATGTACAGACAGGACAGCCCAAATCCACAAAACAGACAGTCTTTTAAGGTACTTGTTCTTTGCCGATTTAGGTTTGAGAAGTACAAGCTGGACTGGCTCGGATCGTGTTGAAAACTGAGCATTAGTTGGAACTGCTCAGGTGTCTAAGGGGGAGGGCATAAAGAGAATCTCCAGGAATCATTTTCTATCACAAGTCAGCTTTTATCTTAGGAGTGGTTTTAATTAACTGGAGAAAACCATGCAAAAAAAAAAAAAAAACAGTTTCCCAAGTTTTTATAAAACAGAGGGGGAGTTCCTGTGCAAAAACCATCAAAGCAATGAAAACCTCATGGGCTCTTGATATTCTTCCTGAAAGCAAAACATATACAATGTGTCTGAGCTGATTTAGGTCCCCCTGGGATGGAAAGGGGGCTTCCTAATCCCTTTCAGGGCTCCAGCAGCATCTCCCTTTCAATCTCTAATTGTTTTCCTACAGCCATCATTAGTTAAAGAAAATGCAATGTTGCTTAGCAGTCTTTCCTGGCAGGCACCATGAGTGTGCAATCATCTTATTGGTTAGATTTCTAATTTATTGCAAATGTTTGGCATATTTCAAACATTTGTCCAACATACACCACAGACCAACCAATACAGGTTAGTAACATTTTATATACATTCCTAGAGCTCCTAATTGGAAATGTTTCATTTTGTTTGAGTGAGGGGAGTTAAGGGCAGTTTTATGTGTGCTGCTTTTGTTTTTATTTCTTTCCACTATCAGCACCAACGTTATATACTACCTTTCTCCCAAAAGCCACTTTCTCCTTTCAAAATAAAAGCTTATGGTCTTCAAAATATGTGCTGCCATGTTTCTGTGTTAAATGCCTCTCCGGTCATGAATCCCAGAAAGTTTTTTTCTGTGAAAATTTCATTTCATATGAATGAAAATCAAGTTTCACCTGAATTTTATAGACAGAACATTTATAAGTTGGAGAAAAGGAATGTTCTTTCTTTTCTTCCTTTTCCCAAGAAATCAGACTGTTTTGGCTCTGTAGGCTCAGTAGGCTCTGATCATTGTGCTAGTGCTCAGTCCTAGGCTGGGTCAGACCCCAGAGACAATTGGCTTCAATTTTGGTAAACTTCAGGGAAAGCTTTGGTTTTTGTTTGGTTGGTTGGTTTGGTTGGCTGGATTTTCTTTTGTTTGTTTTTGAAAATTTGAAACAAACAAAGAGGGGCAAGAAGAATCTGTACCAGGGACAAAGATAAAAATGAAATAAATGTAGCTCACCTCAAGCACAAACTTGGAGAAAGCTCACGGTGATACAGAACCGTTTAGAGCAGGCTGCGATGCTTACCAAGGTGCTTCCAAGGTGGGAAAGAGCCCCTATGTGGCCCTTACACCGCTAGCCAGCTTCCTCTGTGCAGATTAGGAAATATCTTGCTTGAAAGGCCTCTCCTGAGACACAGCTCTGCTAAGGAGCCCTGCAGAGACCCAGCTGCTGGTGTCCTACAGCCGAGAAAGTCTTTTGGCAGTCGTTTGTGGTTATGTTCTCCCAAATTCTCCCAAATCTCAAGAGTCTGCTGGTGCTTTCTCCTCAGAGAGGCTTTGGAACAACTGTTTCAGAGACTGAGTTTGTTCCAGACATGCGGAGGAAGAACTAGAAAGCCAAAACCTGTCCCAGTTAACTGTAGCTACACCTGCTCTGGACGCCCTTTTTTTTTGGGGGGGGGGAGTCATCATTTATTAAACACAGCATATGAGCATTTTTGTCCATCAAAAATGGGAGGCAACCATAGGAATGACTGGCCCTTCCTTTATAAAGGAGGCAGAAGCTGGGGTCTTCTAGGACAATTGCACTCTTGCCTGGGTGAGCCCCTTTGAGTTGTTCACAAACGCCACCTGCTGTTCCCTTTTCAGCAAACTTACTCATTTTTCACCTTTCTAGCTCCAAAGGTCTGTGAAGCCTGCAAAAATAAAAACGAGGATGACAACGACATAATGGAAACTCTTTGCAAAAATGATTTTGGTAAGTAATACACCACCAACAACAAAAGATTTCACATTTCAGAAGTTTTCTGTACCAGTAAAACTTAAAGGTGCGAATCATGAAGATGTTGCTAGATAAAGCTTGAGTAAGACACCATCACCGTTCACCTTTCCAAAAATCATCTAACATGCTCTGTCCTATGCTCATGTCTCTATGTAACTACCTTATATTGAGTTGTATCTTTTTAGATGAGATTCATTGTTCTGTTAAGCAATAATCAAATAATGAGAATTATTCAAATTATTAATTTTCAATGGCATATTTTTCATTTCACTTTGGCTTTTTCTTGCCAACAAGCCTAATCCTGGGCCATGTTATCTTTCTGACACTTGACATGTGCACCAGGGATGGAAACATGCAAACATGAGCCCCAGCAAAACACATTGAAGGTATTAAGTGGGCCACAAGTAAAAATTCAGTCCAGTGCCAAACTAAGCTATTCTTACTTTATTTATAATCATTAGTGAATATATCTAAGATGCTGGTTAATAATCGGGGGAGGGATTCCTTAATTTTAAAAAGAAGAAATAAAGTTTAGGAATTTACTTGGCAGGGTACATGAAAGCTCCATGGTGACATGGTGCTTGGGGACAATAAATAACGTGTGATATGTTACTCAAGTTCCAGAGAGTGTAAGTCACTACCCTTAAGAGAATATTGTAAGAGGAAAGCAGGTTGGAGACTATCCACACAGGACTCTGTCTGCACCTTATCGGCTGTCCCGAGACCTCCAAGGTGAGGGAGGAGCCCAGCTGGACACAGGATCAGTGCCAAATTCAACGTTGGGACTGGCCAAGAACTTCGCTCAGATTCCTGGGGCGTCTGGCCTTCATCCCACTCCAAAAGCAGGCACCTCTTGGTGTGTTCAAGTGGTCAGTACCCCTTAGAAGCATTCATTCATGCAGAAGGCTGACCTTACCCTTAAACAGATATGATCTCTGCTCTATCAAATACTAGTAGACTCCAACAGATCTATGTTACTAATTCTATGTCCTCAATAAAGTATTTGAGACTGAGAGAAATCACTCCAGCTCCCACTGTTGAGGAACGCCCTCCCAGAAATTTCAGGTCTGCTCAGGTCCCTGAAACTCTGAGAATAATCCTAACACTGCTCCTCACAACCCCAGGTCTCTTCCAGGCAGTGTCCTGGGGTTACCCTGAGCTGGTCCCAGAACAACCAGTGCCACGGCTTTAGGAGAAGCATCACATGCCAAGGAAGGGACAAAGAAAGGAGGCAACTCTGTCCCAAACAGTCCTTTCCCTCAGCAAGAGCCACAAATGGGATAACAGCCGTCCATATGTCTATATTTAGTTATATACACCTCTCAAGGCCAAGTGGGCAGCCGCCATCCCAGACCTCCAGGGCCTTGCTTCCGTGCTACCAGATAGGATTAAGGGCAAGAGAGAAAAGTAGAATTTTAATAAAATATATATTAAAATTTTCATAACATATCTTCTTCTGGCAGCTTATGTCCTTTGCACAAGATTTAATCCAGATCTCTCTCCTGACTTCCATGAAAATGGTGGTTATATTATGGGGCTCCAAAACAGTTCATTTAGGAGACATGTGTACACACACACACATTAACTGCCTGCTTTGTGACTTACCATACAGAAGACCTTCCTAAGGATGCTCTGTCAAGAATGGTTCCAAAAAATGTGTGTGTATGAGAGAGAGAGAGAGAGCTAGCATTCTCTCTCCTTAGAGAGAGAGAGAGAGAGAGAGAGAGAGAGCTAGCATTCTCTCTCCTTAGAGGGAAAAGCCTTTCTAAACAACTTAGAAGACATCACATTGAAAGTAGCACAGTAGATACCTCACCAGCTTCGCTTTTTATTTCCCCACATTCATTTCTGTCCTGAAAGGGCTAATGAACCTGGGTTGTAGCAAGGACATCCTGCACCCCTGGGGTAGAAGCAATATTCCCCGTGGCCTCTGTGCTTCGAGGAAGTCATGGAGGGGTAGAAGGAACGAGGGTAGGAATCTGATCTCTTCCACATCGCACTCTTTCCCCACTGCACACCTGAAGTACACGGAAAATGAAGAACACCTCTTTAGTTCAGTGGTAAAAGTGCTGGGGAAGAAACAAAGGCCCACACAACCTGCTCGTGTATACAACCTGTTGTTGGGTCGGATGGTATCAGCACCTCTGATTGCCGCATCCTGCATCCCTGTTCTCATCTTCCGGGCTAGGGAACGTTACTCTGGGGCTTGGATTCCCTATATTTGGTCCCAGCTAAAAATCCAGGGAGGACGGGCCTGACTTTCCCCATGATAATCTTTTGCAAAGTTGGTTATTTTAAAGCTAGAGAAGTATGTGTACTAAATCTTCCCTCTGGTTAAAAGTGATGACTTTTTTTTTGGATGCTTGGAGCTCAAGAATGTTTAATTTGACCAGGTGAGATCTCACACATGCTCTATCTGTGCTATAAACGAGGCTCCCAGGCAACATAGAAGCACTTCTCTCACCATATGTTGTCCCCACCCCCACACCGTACACAGAGGCCACAGGAACATGTGACTTATTCTATGAATTAAGTCTCATAAACCCCGAGAACTCAGTCCGGTTCAGACGCGTGTCAGGCAGTAATGGTTGGCGAAGTCGCCGTATCCTTGATTTACCCGGCCGAGCTTTGCTCATTTCCCAGTTGACTAGAAAAGTCAGTCTTAGCCAAATTCCCTTGCTGAGACAGAAAGAAAAAGGCCGCCAAAAGCAGCTATACTCACATACACACAAAACTCTTCCTCTATTACTAATTTTAACAGTGACTTAAACTGCATCCAGGTCAGGAAGCTAGACTTGTACATACCTGTACAGAACAATGTCAGTGGCACCAGGGGTCTTAGGATACTTTACAGTTGGGTGAGTTAATGCTCCAACCAGGACAAGAAATGGGAAGTTGCCTTATGAGGCCACATTGGTGTTACAGGGGAGTTGGGAACCAGGGTTCTGAGAGCTAACCTCAGCCAAGACGCTACCTAACAGGGTAACCTTGTGTAAGTCACCACATTTCTCTGCATTCCAGACCCTTCACGTGCCAACAAGAGATTTTTAACTGGATGATTTCTTCCAACCTTCACATTCTATCCTTTCTCTGCCTTCATGGATTCTTGAAATGTAATTCCAGCATGTATGTTTGCAGGGTTTTCTTTCCCAAAGCATGCTGTTTATGACTATAAAATGTGTCTTTTATGTAAACCACTTACTCTCAGTCTTAGCGTTCTAATGAGTCTAATATCCATTTTGGAAACAGTACTATATGATCTGTAAACGCCCTGGCCTTGGACAGGCAAATGATAGCATATGAGGATGAGGTCTTCAGAAAAACACTTTTACAGCTAAACATGTGCTCTTAAAAAGAGTCTTGGATATTTTTCTCCTAGTTACTTTACCAAATCAAATGCAGCTGTAAGATCAACTCTCCTTCCCTGTAGTCTGTTCTTTAGAAAACAATGATTGTGTGATATAATTTCCTTACAGGTTTGTCCAAAAACCTATCCGACGTAATTAATTGAGTTTAAAGTTTACAGCCACAGAAGATCACATTTCACCTAAGAGTCAGGCATTTCTTTTCATGCTGACGTCTCCAATAGGGGAAGTCCTTTGTTGAGGAGAGCAGAGCACAAACCACATGCGACCTGCACACAGACACCAGGGCGGGAGAGGAGAGTTAATTGGGTCCCACAAAGGGAGTTTTGAAAGGGTGGCTGATTGGAAACAAAGTGCATGGCCAACCCTTTGAGGCTTTCGAAATGGAGCACCTGCTGCCCCAGCTCCCAACCCCCTTCGCTCAGCCCCTGGCAGCCCCTTAGCTCTAGGAAGCTCTTCTGTCCCCCCTAAGCCTGGTCACACCATATGCAGTAGAATGGGGGGAGGAAGGGCTCCCAACCTAGTCTGTATTCCCCCATTATAACTGGAGTGATTCCATCCCCTCTTAATAGCACTGAAAATAAAGGTGAAGGAGATAACCTACATCAACAGAGATACGAAAATCATCCTGGAGACCAAGAGCAAGACCATTTACAAGCTCAACGGGGTGTCCGAAAGGGACCTGAAGAAGTCGGTGTTGTGGCTCAAAGACAGCTTGCAGTGCACCTGCGAGGAGATGAATGACATCAACGCGCCCTACCTGGTCATGGGACAGAAACTGGGCGGGGAGCTGGTGATCACCTCGGTGAAGCGGTGGCAGAAGGGGCAGAGAGAGTTCAAGCGCATCTCCCGCAGCATCCGCAAGCTGCAGTGCTAGTTCAGGCGCCGGCTCGCGCCCGACAGGCCAGCCCCAGGGCTCGGCTCACCACGTCCGCCCGAGGCCTCAGCTCTGTCCCAAGCACAGTCCCTGCAGCTCTGGCCTCAGCCTGGAGCAGCGTCCCCTGCCTTTTGCACATTTGCACCCCCAACATTTCCTGAGCTATAAGGCCCTAGGAGGCCCCAGGAATGGATACCTGTTTTCACATAAAGGAAAAAAAAAAAAGTCTTGTAGAAATATTCAAAGTAATAAAACCATGCATATTTTTTACGAAGTTTTAAAATAGCTCACTTTAAAGCTAGTTTTGAATAGGTAAAGCTGTGACTTGGGTCTGATGTTTTTTCCGGTTTGGTCGCCTGATTTTGAATTTCTGCTGACGTTGCCGTAACATACACAGCTTCATTTGTGTATGTGGCCCAGCTGTTGCGGGTCTCAAACCAGGTTGAGATAAAGCTGGCTGTTATCTCAACACCCCTCAGCCCCACCCCGTTGGGAACTGAACTGGCGCGTATTCATTTCCAGGTAGAGCACTTCCATTTATGAAAAGCACATTAAGCATCATAGCGCGGTTTCTTCGAATAAAGTGCACACCAGATACATTGTGTAATTGACCTGAGTACTTTAGGCTTTGTTTAAAACATTTTTTCTTATTTTTGCAAATTAAACCATTGTAGCTTACCTGTAATATACATAGTAGCTGACCATAAAAAGTTGTAAAAATATTGCTTTAACCAACATTGTAAATATTTCAGATCAACATTATATTCTTGTATATAAACTTTACATCCTGTTCTACCTACTTGTCTTCTGTTTTTTTACTACAAGGAATTGGGAAGGGAACTGTCTCAGGGTGGTCACCTGCTTTCTCCTGAAGTCCAGCCTTCCCACAGTTTGAAGTGTCTGTTCATTAAGTGACTCAAAGTGTTTCCCCTCTGTAGCACCAGGCTCCTGCCTGAGCCCCACGTCTCCTTTTACAGATGTTTACACTGAGGACCCCGCAGGGAGGCAGAGATCTGCAGGCTCTGCGAAGAACTGTCCTGCTCCTGTCCCTTCTCCGCGGTTCAGCTGCAGCCATGTGGCAACACTGTAACCCTAAGGTTCATGGCCTCTACGGTTCTTTCCATTCCCGGAGATTCTCATAATGAAAAAGAATAACCATTGCAAAAATATCAGTTCCTTCCCCACTTTAACCCACAATTTGAAGTGTGATTGGAAGACGAGGAAGGGAGGGGATGGTGACGAACCAACATTAAAAGGACAGAAAGATAGACATCCATAAAATGTCCATCCAAATGCGTCATTATTTGGGAGCGTCTAGAGAAATTCTATTAAACACGACGGAGACGGGCTCAGGGGTTAGACAGCATGGCTCAGAAGAGGCAGAGGAGAATTCGGCCTTTCAAAGGACGTTCTCTCTTCTATTCAACCTGGGAGTGGATCTGAGGAACGTGGTGGCGCCCATCTGTTCAACGAGTATTTATTGGGCATCTGTTATGTGCCTGGCCCTGTTCTAAGTGCCAGGGGGACATACCGTAGTCCTTGTTCTTATGGAGTTTACATGAGGGAGTGAAAGAAAATAAATTATATAAAAATATATAATTACAAGTATATATTTATAATGGGTAAGTTACATGAAGTGTAAGTGTGGGAAATGCAAAAGAGCAAGAGGGTCCCCATCAAACCTGACATTTTGAGTGGTGTTCATGTGAAGCCTTTATCTGGTGGCATTTTATTGACTTACTTTCAAAGTTTCCTGAACATATCCATCCATGACCTTGCTCCAGTACTTCGAGTTCTTCTGGCACCACAAAATCAATACCATAGCCATGGCCTGGGCTGCACAAGTTTCGTCAGTCCCTTTCATTTTTCTCTGGCCTGCCACTTGACTCTGCTTCTCATCTGAATCCACAAACTCAAGACACAACCCTCTTCCTACAAGCTACATATGGACCAGACTAGAAAGGGGATACTCGTGGATCGAGGCCAACTCTCATTTTAAATATTTGGAAAGAGAAACCAGGGACCCTGGAAAAGATAGATAGATAGATAGATAGAGAGAGAGAGAGAGAGAGAGAGAGAGAGAGAGAGAGAATAGACTACAAAAGAAAGGAAAAAATAAACCAAGGATTTAAAGATCAGAAGGGAGAAATGTGTACAATGCATCAAAAATTAATGGAAAGAGTCAATTTGGAAGAACTTGACCTATCTGAATCTTACCTTTCCAATCAAGCCAAAGTAACGTGCCATATAATGGGATGCAGAACTTTCAGCTCTGGAGAGTACGTTAATGCCAGACATAGTCCCTTCGGTCATGTTTTCAGGAGTTAGGCTGAGACATCACTCCAGTGCCTGCCTCCTGCCATGTGCGCCTCCCTCTGGGCTTTCCAATCCCATCTTTGATGGAGCTAAGAGACAATGAGACGAGCTTGGGTAAAGCAACTAGGTTTTTGTTTAATTTTTCATTTTGTTATATTGTTTTGTTTTTCATGATGATCCAACTATATAAGGCTCATTTATTCTTGAATTAATCATGATTTTATTCTTAATTATGTTTACAACTATCAGAGTGCTCTTGTAAGCAGATGGAAACCTGAATATAATCCATTACTGGAGAAAGAAAGCAAGTAATCAGAGGACACTGGGTTTCTGAGTTTCCTAACATGATTCATGACCTGTTAATTAACTGTTAAAATGCCCCAAATAGGGGATCAGCCTAAACTGAAAAGTTAAAGTATGAAAACTGCATATCTATTATGCATGTAATTTTTTCCTTTTCCTAAATAACTTGAAAATGAGCTTTTGTACAAGAATAAATCTATAAGAGTTTTTTGGGAAGCATTTCCTAAGTGCACAAAGAACAAAGGCTCTGTGCACGTACACACATCAGTATACTGAAATTCACAGGGTTAAAAAAGATCCATTTTATCTAATAGCACCCTCCATTCATCATTGTCTCTTCCCTCATCAAATGATCGTTAGTTTGGATTTTTTGCCTATTAACTCTTGTTTACTATCACATTTTCAATGTTCTTGATGGGGGCGAGGGGATCACCTTGAAAAGCAAGTTCAGCCATGTGTACCCCTTGTGCAGTCATTATGCAATGATGTGATTTTTGCCTTTGCAACACATTGTACCAGTACAAACGAATTCATTCACTCAGCAAAGATTTACTGAGCACCAACTACCATCATTGATCTATTTATTCAGTTATCAGTGTGGAGTGCTTACCCTCGGTGCTGAGGTCCCAACAATGACCCACACACATGGCTACTCTCAGGAAGCTCACAGTCTAATGTGACACCTAAGCACATAACAAACAACAGTAACTGAGATCCAGATTTTCTCAGACCCTCCTGGACACAGTCTTCCTGGACTCCATTTGTTCTTCTGAGTACAAATAAGTTCTCATTAAAATAATACTAAAAATTGAAATCTCCAGGCCCAGAATGTTTCATTGGTGAATTTTACCAAACATTTATAGAAGAATTGATGCCAGTTTTACACAATCTCTTCCAGAAAATAGAATAAGAAGGGATGTTTCCCAACTCATTATGTAAGGCTAGCATTGCCTTCATACCAAAACCAGACAAAGATAGCACAAAAAAGAGAGAAAAATATAGACTAACATGTCTCACCAACTTACACAAAAATTCTTAACAAAATATTATCGTATCAAATCCAGCAGTGTACAAAGAGTATGTATACTACAACCACGTTGGATATATTCAAGGTATGCGAAACTATTTTAATATTAAAAATTAATATAATCTACCATTTCAACAGGTTAAAGAAGAAAATCATATGATCATGTTAATTGATGCAACAACAAAAAAAAAGCACTTGCCAAAATTCAGTACCCATTCATAATAAAATTGCTCGGCAAACTAGGAAACTATTCTCAAAGAGCATATACCAAAAAACCTTCATCTAACATCATAGTTAATGGTAAATGACTGAGTACTTCAAGAGTAAGGCGATGGCCCTGGCCGGTTTGGCTCAACAGTTAAGAGCGTCAGCCTGCGATCCAGAGAGACCCCGGTTCGGTTCCTGCTAAGGGCGCGTACCTCGGTTGCCGTTTGTTCCTGGCCCTGGTTGGTCATGTGGGTGGCAGCCACTTGATGTGTCCCTTTCACATCGATGTTTCTGCTCTCCCCCCCCCCCCCGCACTCTATCTGAACAAAAAATGGAAAAATGTCCTCAGGTGAGGATAAAAAATAAATAAATAAATAAGATGATGTTCATTCTCTCTTACTCAACATTATATTGCAAGTTCTAGTCAGTGCAATAAGGCAACAAAAATAAATAAATGGCACATATTGGATAGGAAAAAAAATAAAACATTTCTATTTACAGACAACATGATTATTTACAAAGAAAATCCCAAGGAATCTACCAAAAAAGGCTCCAACCACTGATAAGTGACTTCAGTAATAATACAAAATTGACACACAAAATTAATTGACATATACTAACAACAAAGTAGAACTCAAAATTTGAGAACACAATACCATTTACAATCGCTCCAAAGGAAAGAAAATAAAATGCTTTGGTATAGATCTAACATAATACATATATTATGTTATATATATATATAGGTTCTGTATGCTAAAAATTACAAAATGCTGATGAAAGACATCAGAGAAGACCAAAATAATTGGAGAGCGATACCATGTTCATAGATTAAAAGACTTAACATGGTAAAGATGTTAATTTTCCTCAAATTAATCTATAGGTTTAATACAACTCCTATCAAACTCTCAGCAAACTTTTTGGAAACATGGACATCCCTATTCTCAAATTCATCCTAAGAAAAGGAACAGCCTTAGGATAGCCAGAATAATTTTGAAAAAATAAAATGGGAGAAATCATTTTTCCCAAGGTTAAGGATTACTATTTAACTAGAGTAATTAAGACAGTATGATTCTGGTGGAGGAACAGACACATAGATCAGTGGAACAGAACAGAGAATCCAAATATGAACCCACACAAATATGCCCAATTAATTGTTGACAAAGATGTAATAGCAATTCAACAGAGTAGGGACAGCCTTCTCAACAAATGGTACCAGAGTATTTGGATGTCCCGCAGAGAAGAAAAAATCTAAACCTCACAATGCATACAAATATTAACTCAAAATAAATCATGAATTTAAATGTAAAATTATAAAAGTTTTAGGGAAAAAAAAGAGAAGATAAATTTGTTTCAAAACCTAACACTTAGCAGAGAGTTCTTAGATTTTACTACAATCCATAAAAGGAAAAAAATGATAAAATGAACCTCTTAAAAATGTAAAATTTTTGCTATCCAAACATATACCAAATCATCACATTGTCCACTTTAAATACCTTACTATTTTGTTAATTATATCTCAATAAAGCTTGCGAACAAAGACCATGTTAAGACAATGAAGACAAATTACAGATTAAAGAAAATACTTGCAAAGCACATAATCAACAAAGGACTTGTATCTAGAATATATAAAGAACCCTCAAAACTCAACAGTAAAAAAAAAAAAAAGAAATCAATACACTTCAACATGGATAAAAGACTTGAACAGACATTCAGTGGAAAAGGATATATATACACATGGCCCTGATGGCATCTGCCATGGGTATGAAAGGAGGGACTGGTAGCCAGGTGTCAAATGCCTGGCAGTTGGGTCCTATGTGACAAAGGAGACTTTCTTGTAGTGCTTTATTCTATGGTGGGCAAAACATTGTGTTTAGGTTGTCAATAAAGCAGGAGACTCAAAACCAAAAAAAAGTGGGGGGGGGGTGGAGCATTTTATTTTTAATTTTTTTTTTAAAGCATCAAAATAGTCATCTTAGAAGAAAACCAGGTCATTGTATACTGACCTATACCTAATGAAAACAAGTTAGTGTTTTCTTGGTTCTCAGAATGAAAATATGAGGGTGGTGTAGGGAGAGTGTAACAATCTCTATACTGTTCAGACTTCTAACGATCTTGCTGCAATTGAATCTAAGCGTAGCACAGTCCTCAAAACTCGGCCTAGTTTCATTAAACTCTTATCTTCCAGAGGGTGAACCCTGGCCTGGATTCAAGGCTAGAAAAGAAAAATTAAACTACAAACCACCCAAACTAGTAACATTACCCCTGCCCGGCAGAGCCAAACCACCAGGATGAATGCTGAACTATTTCCTATGATACGATAAGGGATTATCTAAGCAAGGAAAAGGTGGGAGGGATGTGCAGAAAGGGGACAAAGTGGAGAAATGAACAACTCAGCAATAAGACTTCAATACCCCACTTTCAATAATGGGTTGAACAAATAGGCAGAAGATCAACAAGGAAATGGAAGATTTGAACGACACTATGAGCCAACTAGATCTAACAGACATCTATTCACAACACATTCCATCAGACAGAATGCACATGTTTCTCAAATTTATAATAAACGGGCCGAAGCTGGCCCCTGTACATGGGCCTTATGTTGTTTACTTTTTCACAGCAGGTTGGCAACATTGGCTCAAAGCCAAATTCAAATTCTTACATATCCTATTGCTTTAAATATATCCAAAATAAGGATATTTTTAGCCATTTAGACCCTGTCTGCTTTGTATACTCAGCAAAACTGCACCCGATATCGGCTAGCCATAGACAAGATAAACCCTGAGGTTATAAAAGACCCCGACTGCTGAGTGACATCACCTAGACACATAAGCCCCTTCCCCATTCCCCGCTTCCCTGGGAACCCCCTTACCCTATTCCCCTTTTGGAGGGTAGCCTCTGTCTCTGGAAGGTCCCTCCAGTGCAACGCTGTCCAAATACCACCCAACAGGCCTGCGGAAAACTGCCATCTCCTGCTCCTGTCTTTCCCTGATCAGCCCCAAAATCTTTGAACTCATCACACAAGTGCACATAGAACACTGTCGAGGACAGAACATATGTTAGACCATGTAACAAGCTTCAAAACTTTTAAAAGGACCCAAATCATGCAAAGTATGTTCTCCAACCACAATGGAATGAAATTTGAAATAAATAACAGAAGGAAATTTGGGAAATTCACAAACACATGAAAATTAAACAACACAGTCCTAAATGTGTTTAAAATTTAGGTGAATGAAAGCAAAAACTTAGTATACCCATAAGTATGGGATGCAGCTAAAGTAACGTCTGGGGAAATAGCTGCAAATGCCTACTTAAAAAAGAAGAAAATGTCCAATTGACAGTCTGACCTTCTACCTTGAAAAGACAAATAAAGAAGAGGAAACTAAGCCCAAAGCAAGCAGAAGAAAGGAAACTATACAGATTACAGCACAAATAGATTAAATTGAGAATAGAAAAACAACAGAGAAAAAAATAAATATAACTCGATTGTTTGAAAAGAAAATAGCTCAGCCAGTGTAGCTCAGTGGTTGAGCGTCAACCCATGCACCAAAAGGTCACCCGTTCGATTCCCAGTCAGGTCACATACCCAGGTTATGGGCCTGATCCCCAGTGGGAGGCATGCAGGAGGCGGCCAATTGATGCTCTCTCTCATCAATGTTTCTGTCTCTCTCCCTCTCCCTTCCTCTCTCTCAAAAACCAATGAAGAAAAAGAAAATAGACAAAACTGGAGCTAGACTGACCAAAATAAAAAGAGAGAAGACCCAAATTACTGAAATAAAGAGGGACATTACTACCAACCTTGAAGAAGTAAAAAAGATTATAAGGGAAAACTGTGAGCACTTTTATACAACAAATTAGGTAACCTAGACAAAACTGACAAATTCTTAGAAAGATACAAAATACCAAAAGTGACTCAAGAGCAAACAGAAAATCTAAATAGATCTGTAATAAGTAAAGAGATTGAATTATTAGTAAAACATTTTCCCAGAAGAAAAAAAAAAAAAAAACTCAGGCCCAGATGGCTTGTCTGGTGAATTCTAATACATATTTAAAGAAGAACTAATATCAGTTATTTACAAACATATCCAAAAAATAAAAGAGGGTGGTAACCCTTCCCAACTCATATTATGAGGCCAGTATTACCTTGATAGCATAACCAGACAAAGAAATCTGAAGACTACCGGCCAAAATTCCTTATGGACATAGATGCCAAAGCCTCGATAATCCAGCATCATATTAAAAGGATTAGACACCATGACTGAGTGGGACTCATCCCTAGAGTGCTAGCTTGGTTTAACATATGAAAATTAATCAATGTAATATGCTATATTAATAGAATAAAGAACAAAAACCACATGATCATATCAGTAGATGCAGAAAAGCACTTGACAAAGTCCAACACCCTTTCAGGATAACAACACTCAATGAACTAAGAACGAAAGGGAACTTTCTCAACCTGATAAAACCATCTGCATAAATTCCACAGTTAACATCATACTCAATAGTGAAAACCTGAATGCTTTCCTTTTAAGATTAGGAAAATAAATAAGTAATATTCACTCTTATTTAACACAGTACTGGTAGTTCTGACCAGTACCATAAGGCAAGAAAGAAAGGAAGGAATGAGGGATAGAAAAAAAGAGGGAAAGAGGAGGTAGGAGAGGGGTTGAAGGATGGGAGGGGAGAGAGGAAGGAAGGAAGGAAGGAAGGAAGGAAGGAAGGAAGGAAGGAAGGAAGGAAGGAAGGAAAACACAAAAATCCAGATCAGAAAGGAAGAACTACAATAACTATCTCTATTCACAGATGACATGATCTTATATAGAGAAAATACTAAGGAGTCCACTAAAAGCTATTAGAACTAATGAATGAGTTCAGCAAAGTTATAGGACATAAGATCAACATACAAAAATAGAACAATCCAAAAATGAAGTTAACACAATTTCATTTACCACAGAATTAAAGAATAAAAAACTCAGGTATGAATAAAATTAACAAATGAAGTACAAGATTTATTCATTGGAAATTACAAAACTCTATTAAAAGAAGTAAAAGAACCAACTAAATAAAAAGACACACCATGTTCATGAATCAGAAAAGTTAATATTGTTAATATGGCAATACTTCCCCAAATTAATCTATAGATTCAATACAATCTCTGTCAATATTCTAGCTGCCTTGTTTGCAGAAATTAACAAGATGATTCTAAAATTCTCCTGAAAATGCAAGGAACCAGAAATAGACAAGACAATATTAGAAAAAGAAGAATAAAGTTCAAAGACTCATACTTCCCAATTTCAAACCTAATACAAAGCTACAGTTTACAAGACAGTGTGGTACTAGCATAAGGATAGGCACATAGATCAAAAGAATAGAACCGAGAGTCCAGAAATAAACCATTATATTTAGGATCAATTGATTTTCGACAAGAGTACCAAGACTGAAAGAGAGAGAAAGGACGAGATAAGAGAGACTATTCAATGGGGAAAGAATAGTCATTTCAACAAATGATACCAGGACAACTGTATATCCATATGCAAAGAATGGAGTTGGACCTCTACTTCACACTATACATACAGAAGTCAACTCAAAGTGGATAAAGATCTAAATGTAAGAACTAAAACTAGAAAACTCTTAGAAGAAATCATAGGAGTATATCTGCACAACCTGAGATTAGGCAGTGATTTCTTAGGTATAACATCGAAAGTACCATACAAAAGAAAAATACATAAATTTAAAACTTTTGTGCTTCAGGGCATAACATCAAGAAATTAAAAGACAACCCACAGAATGGGAGACGACATTTGCAAATCATATATCTAATAAAGAACTGGTTTCCAGAATGTATTTTTAAAAAACTCTTAAAACTCAACAGTAAAAAGACTAGTGACCCAATTAAAAAATGGATAAAGAATCTAGACTGTTTCTCCAAAGATATGTAAATGACCAATAATCACATAAAAAGATGTGTGACATTACTAGTCATTAGGGAAATACAAATCAAAATCACAATGAGATACACTTCACACCCACTAGAATGGCTAGAATTTTTTTAAAAATCAGATAATGACAACTGTTGGTGAGGATGTGGAAAAATCAGAACCCTGATACCTTGCTAGTGGGATTGCCAAATGGGACAGCTAATTTGAAAAACAGTTTGGCAGTTCCTCAAAATCTTAAACATAGAGTTACTATATGACCAAGTAATGTACTACTAGATATATACTTAAGAGAATTGAGAACATATATCCACCAAAACACTTGTATATGAATTTTCATAGCAGCATTATTCATAATAGCCCAAAAGTGGAAACAGCCCAAAAGTCCATCAATTCATGAGTAGATAGACAAAATGTGGTATAACCATATAATGAAAGTTTATTTGGCCGTAAAAAGAAATGAAGTACTGATAAATGGTACAACATGGATAACCTTAGAAACACTGTGCTAAGTGAAAGAAGCCAGACACAAAAGCCACATATTGTATGATTTCATTAATATGAAACATCCAGAAAATCTCTATAGACAGAAAGTCGATTAATGGTTGCTAGGGGACGGAGAAAGGAGGAAAGGAGGAGTGAGGTCTAATGAACTAGGGTTTTTCTTGGGGTAATGTTCTGAAATTAAATAGTGGTGATGGTTGCATGGTTTTAGGAATATACTAAAAGCCACTGAATTGTACACTTTAAAAGGGTGAATTGTATCTCAAGTCTGTTATTTTAAAAAAAGGGGGAGGGCAGACGTCCCAAGGTTCAAGATCACATAGTGAGTGTGTTATAACTGAGATTTGTAGCCAAATTTGTTTGATTCTAAATTCTATTTTCTGGACTATCAACCAAATGCTGAACTTCCTTCTTTTCCCACAAAATAGACTTTCAGGACAATGTTCTTCATTCCTATAGAGTTCACCACTGTCCAACACCAAATCTCTCTCTCTCCCCCTGATTTTTCTCCTGTGCTTTGGTTAGTCTCTGTGGACACCTCTGTCTGCATGCTCTATAGACGTCTCAAAATCAACATGCATTAAAACAAATTTAACTTCACTTTTCACAGCCTCAGTCTCCTTTTATGAGTAGCTCTTATTGGTAGTCACTGGCTGGTGTCCTTTCTATTTCTCAGGCCATTTAGAAAGCAAAGATAATTAACCCACCCCAAGCCCAGTAAATAACCATGTTTTCCACGCTCCGGTTACCAGCTCTGACCATTTTCTTTGCTGAGTCTTCACCCAAATGACCCATTACCAAGAGATTTTTTTATTCTTATTTCACTACTAATAATGACTTAAATATATACTTAGAACATGGACACAACAGCAACCAAGGGTTAAAAATAGAGACCCTAGCCTGGCCGGTGTGGCTCAGTGGTTGAGCATTGACCAGTTCTAATCCTGATCAGGGCACATGCCCAAGTTATAAGCCAAATCCCCAATGGGGGGCATGCAGGAGGCAGCCAATCAATGTTCTCTCTCATCAATGTTTCTATCTCTCTCTCCCTTCCTCTCTCTAAAAATCAATAAAGAAAAAAATGTTTTTTTTTTTAAATAGAAACCCTCTCAAAAAACTCGGGAGAGTCAGCAGTCGAAGCAGGACCCTGAGTCAAGTCCTGCTATGCACTAAGGCTACACGTGCCCGTCTCCACAGTTATAACAGGACAAAACAGCCTTTGAGCTGTGTGTTTAAAGTCGTCCCCAAAACTACGGCCACTTTGACGGGTACCCTAAGATCTTCTGGAAAATCTTAAACTAGTAGCATCTAACTATTCCTTAAGTCACCCACTAACTATTGTATCCAGGGCGGCTTCTAACATTTCCCTTCTTTGGAGACACAGCAAAATGTGTTTACTATAAAAATTAAACACACACAGAGTAATTTTATGCCAAGATATTAAATTTTTTTTAATGGTCGTAATTTGACATGCCCAGCAGAAAATTTTTGTTTATAACCATTTAGAAACCTAGAATAATTAAAATCCTTTCCGAAGAAAAGGTGAAATCAACAACAACCTAAAGCGCAAATATTCCATTTGTTCGATCACCTAAAATAATGTAAATATGTGTTTTATTTCCATGAGTGCACTATTCCAACTATTACATGATGTGCTAGGGTTACTGCATTTATAGAATAAACTGGAAAAGCAACCATATCTTCAGCAGTCACGCAAGCCACATATTTTTAGAATTATGTGGCTAAACACCAAAATGGATGTTTATTCGATACAAGGATTAAGATGACCGGTAGAAGGGAACAGACTCGGGCCTCACCCCTAACTGCTTCGTCTCCCAGCCCCATCTCAGCATCGCTCACTGATGGCCAGACTATGTCCCTGTCCTGATGAACAATGCCACATTATAAAACAAGTAGGACATGCACATCTGAACTGCATGAAAACTGTTAAGACACAATTTAGCCTCTTATTTTAAGTACTTACGGAAGTGCAGAGTTCTCGATGGTCCTGTAATGGGCAGAATGGGAAAGTCTGTGGCTACAGAGATGACAGCCCCTCTCCTTCCTGGAGGAACCTCTGTTGGTGATGGGCTACAGGAAGCCACCCGTCCTCACTCTCCCTCCTGCAGAAGCACAGTGACCTGGAAATGTGAACACACCATCAATCCCAACTGGCTCCTGGCCAGGCATTGTACCAGAAGCAGTGGTGGAATAAAGATGGTTAGAGTAGGGTCTCTGCTCTCCAAGCACTTGCAGTTGGTGGCGGACACCAGCGCCTTAAACAGAAAGCAGTCTGGAATACAGGCAAATGCAGAAGGCTATGGGAGCAAAGGGCTGAGAAAGATGTGTTCCCGCTGCAGATCTGGGAGAGCCTGATAAGAGAACAGGGGTGTCATAAGCAGGGGGATGGTCAAGAGTCCTTATTTGTCCTTAACTGTGAATGAGGATAATAATAGCACACCAAATGCATCAGGAGGTGTTGAGCATTCAGTGGATATGACGTGCCTGGCACCAGTGGGCATTATAACAAGTTTTAGCTCCTCTCATTGGTAGGGAACATAATAAGTAAGGCCAAAAGTACACACTAGGAGGCTTTGAAATCCAGGGAAAATTAACCATGTCCTTTGTTGTTGCTTCTATCATTGATCTTGTTTCAAGCCCCCAAGTAGGACACATATCTAAAGTTAAGAGAAAATAGAAACATCTGTATCTTTCTTTCATGAGAGTGTGACTTTCTTTTGTGATTTTGTGGAACAGAGGTGCGATGTGATCTTCCCAATGAACCTGAGGTGTAGTGATGATGGTGGCAAGTCTTTGATCTTAACTAGAAATGACGAATACAACTTCTGCAGCAGGATGGGGTTCCTGGGGGTGCTTCCCGTGAAGCAGTGGGCCCACACACACTGCGCATCCTTAGATTGAAACAGCTGACCTCTTCGAACTGAAATGCCTTCATCTGTAAAATGTTGGATGGTGATACCTGTCACCGGGGGTCATTTTGAGGACTGAATGATATCAGACATCTAGAGTGCTGAGCCTGGTGCCTGGTACTGTAGGTATTCAATAAGTATTAACTTGTTTTTATAGTTAGGACAGTTAGGACTGGCTTGCCCGGAACAGGCTGTCTAGCTTAGTAAAGATGAGACTTCTTAGAGGATGCACCAGGCAAGGAGACAAGGGAAAGGGCCCCAAGGAGGATTTCAATGTGGTTATCCCTCCTGCTGAGAGCGTCTCTGCACTCTCTGCACTCAGTAAGCTAGAACGACCCCAGCTGAACTTCCAGGCTTGAAAGTAGAGTTGGTTTTTAAAAGCAGTTCTTCTTTGTCAAGATCAATTGTTCAACAGGACTGAAAAGCTTACCCTCGGAAGAGGCTCAGTCCTAACACCTGTAGGATGACCCATGAAAAGCGGGGCTGTGCCCTCTCTCTGTAGGGAGCAGGGAAAGCCATCCCGGCTGGTGTCTGGTCGCTGGGACTCCGCTGCCTCCTCTACTTCAAATTAACCAGAAACCTGAGAACCCGAAAGCTGAGCCCCAGCTAACATTATTTAAATGAACCGTCTGTTAAGTGAACCTTAAACCACATGTCATTTGGTCGCGGGGCTGCCCTGGGCCAAGAGACATTAATACAGAGTTCCCAGCTCACAAGCGGATTGTGTTCCAAACGTGCATTTGGAAGGCTGTGGTCTGAAAGGCAGAATTCACTTTCCTGAAGAGGCGACGTTATAAATGGTGATTAGGGCCACACGCCAGCTCACAAAACTCCACGTCACCAGAATAGAGCTGAACACTGCACATTTTAGCCAAAAAAGAGTAGAGGTTGGCCTGGCTGGGTGGCTCAGTCGGTTGGAGCATCGTCCCATGCACCAAAAGGTTGTGGGTTTGATTCCTTGTCAGAGCACATACCTAGTTTGCGGTTCGATCCCGGGTCAGGGTGAGTACGGGAGGCAACTTGTCGATGTTTCTTTCTCTTTCTCTCCCTTCCTCTCTAAAAATCAATATCCTGCCCTGGCCGGTTTGGTTCAGCGGTTAAAGCGTCGGCCTGCGGTCCGGAGAGACCCGGGTTCGGTTCCCGCTAAGGGCCTGTACCTCGGTTGCAGTTTGTCCCCGGCCCTGGTTGGTCGTGCGGGTGGCAGCCACTCGATGTGTCCCTTTCACATCGATGTTTTTTTCTCTCTCTCTCTCTCCCTCCTGCTCTATCTGAACAAAGAATGAAAAAGTGTCCTCGGGTGAGGATAAAAAATAAATAAAAATAAAAAAATAAAAATCAATATTTTTGGGTGAAGATTAAAAAACAAAAAAAAGTAGAGGTCAATAGTGTTACAATACTAATAATTAAAGAACAAGATAAACAAGAAAGTTGAGTAGGTTTCATTTGTCTTGAGTACTAGTACTTAAAAAAGCAGATTTCATTAAAGGAAGATGGAAAGGTCTTGCCAGTGAAGCTGAAGGGCCAGGGAACACTAGCCAGGAGCCCTGGCAGTTGGGAACCGGACCACCTTGCACAATTTCTATCAATTCTAAGAGGCTAATGTCTGCCCCTGCAAAGCGAACCTTACCCCCACAGGGGACTGGGGGAGGATGTTGGGGGTGACTGAAAGGGGTTTAGCCTAATTATCTCTGTGCAGCCATTTCATCAGCCAAGGTAGGTCCTGGCTTCAGTGTCCTCTCCTTTTAGAAATAATGACCCCACTAATCAGTCTGCCCCTGACCTCAAGAATCACTGACGTGCAGAATTGTTGACATGCATCTTTCATAGTGATCTCTGAGATCAGACTAGCTCTTAGACACTCACATTGCCTGAATGGTTTGACACACATACCCATTTAGAATCTGCTCCTGCCATCCCTTTGCCAGGGGAAAGTCCCCACCAGATGTCTAGACCCCTTCTTCCACCACCCTACTCCACATGACCAGCATCACACCTAGTTGAAACATACTTAATCACCCATTTTAGCTGTAATGCTAAGGCTCCAATACACATTTTATTTGTAAATATTAAAAATACATGAGAAGCCCGGCCGGTGTGTCTCAGTGGTACAATCCATGTACCAAGAGGTCACCAGTTCGATTCCTGATCAGGGTACATGCCCAGGTTGTGGGCCAAATTCCCAATGGGGGGCATGCAGGAGGCGGCCAGTCAATGTTCTCTCTCATCAATGTTTTCATCTCTCTCTTCCTCTCCCTTCCTCTCTCTCTAAAATCAATTTAAAAAAAATTTTTTTAATATGTGCAAAAAGAGGAAAGGAGTAAATTGAAAAAAGAAAGTTTCTTGAAAAAGATCTTTTGCAAAGGAAAAAAAGAGGATTTCTGCAAGATCTAACCATTAGGTGGCACCATCAGCCCAAGGTAGTTCGGTTGTCCTCTGAAGGGCAGTGAAGCAAGGGGCGACAATCAGGGAGTGGGTAGCAAGTCTGCAGGAAGCCACTTTGTAATAAAGAATTTAACATATTTAACAGGCACTCTTGTGACAAAAATTATAGAATTTGAGGACATCCTGGCCTAGAGAGAAAAAGCGGCCTTTGCCCCATGAAGACAGACCAGAAGCTGGGTAGGGAGGCAACAGGTCCAAATGAACTCATTACCTTAGTTTCCCCAAATCAGCTGTTCTCCCAATATTCCCATCTTTAGGGATAGCAGCACCACGTGCCCAAATGCCAGGCTGCTCAAGACACACACCTGGGCACCATCCTTGGAGATCAGCTAAGTCTTATAGATTCTATCACCTAAATCACTCAGCTCCATCCATATCCCTCCTCTCTGCTCCACTCCATCCCTGCACACATTGACATACTGGAACTACAGCAGTAGCTTTCTAACTGGTCTCCCTGTCTTGGGTCATAGTTGAGCATCCCTCCCCACCGTTCAAGTCAAAAGGCAAGTCTAGCAACGTCATTTTCTTGCTTACCACTCTGTAATGACTTCCCATTCCCCTTAGGCTACAGTCCAGACTGTTAATGATTTACATAGACCTTCTTGATCTGGTCCCTGATGGCCTGTGCAGCTCCTTCCTTGAGTGGTTAAGAGCACAGACCACGGAGTCAGTCTTCTCTGGGTTCAAGTTCCCACTGCACCACCTACTAGTTTTGAAACGGGGACGTGTTTCTGCAGCTCTCTGTGCTTCAGTGTTCTCCTGTGTGAAACGGAGATAATAACACCATCTGCTTCCTGGGGTGGTTATGAGGACTGAATGAGTTAACACAGGGAAAGGACCTGGGGTAGGAAGTACTTACCACTGATATTTGTCACTACAGCCCTGCTGGGCTGTTAGTTCTACAATGGCGGGGATGTGTCCATCTGTTGGTCAACCTCCACTGGTATTTTCTTGTAGGTGTTGAAAACTTCATCACAAACTGGAATGAAGTTAGCCGTATTTTGTAAGTCGGACTATCCAACTGTGTGTTCCTTCTTTGTCCAGTGACCTAAATGAACACCCAAGTATTCCTAACAGCTTACCCCAGTGGTCCAGCCTGTTCCCAGCCACGAGTCCAGACTTGGGCCTGAGGCTGAGGGGAAGGAGAGGTTCCCTGAAAGTGGAGGGGACAAAGGCAAGTTGTGGGTGATTTCCCAGGATAGAGTGCAGGGTCCGGCAGCAGCCAGGGGCCAAGAGGGTCTGCATTCTCTCCCCACAGCGGAGTTTCTCCCCTTTGTCATCTTTGGAAGGGTCAAGTTGGCCTTTAGGGAACTGTTCCCCGAGATTAAAACTGCCGGTGACTAGGGAACAGGCGCAGTAGGCCCAGGGAGAGGAACACATGCCGGGTGCGCAGAGGTTCAACCTCCACGCATTTGGACCACCGCCTTCTGATAAATGCTTCTGGGGTCAGAGAGCTGAGAAGAAAACGATCTCCCTTCCTCTCTTCCTCGCTCCCTCTCTCCCCTCCATTTCTTTCTCCCTGCTCCCCACACCTCTGCCTACCGACCTCCTGGCCCCCTGCAGGCCTGTCACCTGGCAACAGAAACGCTGGTTCCGGCCCAGCGCCAGGACGTCTTATTAGCGACGATGGCTGACAACTGCTTCACCACGGAGGGGTCCTTGACCCCACGGGTCTCATCATTCGTGCCGGTGGCCTCCGGAGCGGGCGGAGGGCGCAGGAGCGGGCGCGCCCGGAGGCTCCCCGCGGGCACCGCACAGCCCGGGGCGGGGCCGCCGGCCGGGCGCCGCGGGCTCCGCTCCGCTCGTGGCTCCTGCGTGCGAACAGCGTCCCCTCCGCGGACTCGCGGGGACCCTCGGAGCCGGCGCTGCGCGGCACAGGCATGGCCGCGGGGGCGGCGCGCAAGGCGGCGGCGGTGCTGGAGGCGCCCCCCCAGCACGATCAGGTACCGGGCGCGGGGCAGAGGCCAGGGGACACCGGGTCAGGGTCCCCAGGCTCACACAGGGGCTGGCGGCCGCCTGGACGGGTTCCCAAGCTCCCCGCCCCCACACGAGTGACTCGGCCCTGGATGGAAGGAAGATGACCCACTGGAAGATGCGGGTGCCTTCGCCTGACGCCGCCCCACCCGGGGAAGCCGAACTCGGCTCCATTTCTCTCTTCCTCCCCCTCTCCTCCTCCTCCTCCCCTTCAGGAGGACAGCTCGAGGGATGGTGGGTGTACAGCAGACTTGACTCTATAGTTCTCAAACTGGAACGTGCATCAGATCACTCCGGGGCTGGTTAAAATGCGGGTCGCTGGGCTCCGCACCCCGGGTTTCTCATTCCTCACCTCCTGGATGAGGCCTGATCCTTTGCGGGTCTAGTCCCCAGGAGGGAACTAGAGCTTTGTGAACCACGGGGCTAGCACTTTCTTCCTCATGCCGGTGGTGATTTCAAACCCAAACATTGCTTTACGTTTCCTTCTTCGGACAATTCTTAGGCCTTGACCAGTTGCCAGGAGCTGTGCTACACGTGGGGTTGGAGGGGATGCAAGTAGAGGTGGGCCTTCCTCTGGGAGCTCACATCCTGGAAGGGAAGTAAAACAAGGACAAAAATAACTCAGAGGGCAGGAAGAGATTACTGTCCCCGAAACAGGTTCAAGCAGAAGCGTTGCAGGATTTCTAAGAAGCAAGGGATTGCTCCTGGCAGAGGGGATGGGCAACGCTGAATGGGGGAGGGGCTGGCATTTGAGCTGGGCCTTGGAGGATGGATGAGATCTGGCCACCTGGTGATGAGGGGGGATGAGAATTCTAGGTGAAGAGGCCAGCAGAGCAAATTGCTTGGAGGTCAAAAAAATGTTGGGGAGGGACCATGGGGAAAGGTGGGGGTGGGTGATGCTATGATTCTGGTAGAAATCTAGGGTTCATAAAGGTTTGTAGTGAAAGATAAGAGAGAGCTGAGTTGTGGTGGGCCTTCTGGATCACACTATGCATTTGGTGTTTATTCTCTACAATGGGGAAGCTATAAGGAAACTCCATGGCTTCCTTGCTGGTTTCAAACTCACATCATCCAAAGGAGGTTGTAGATGGAAAACTGCACACTGGGAGGCACAGAAGACTGGTAGAGTCACTTTTGCTGCTGATGTTTGCTCTCCCTTGAGGCTGACATCACTGCCTTGTCCTCTGCCCTCGGGAGACATGGCCCCTCTGTTAACTGGGCCCTAGGAGGGACTCACAGCTTTTCACTTAATCCCCAACAGCAAAGCTCTGTGATCCAGGGACCAACAGTCAGTGTGTCACGTGGAAGCCAGTTAGAAGTCACCCTGGCAGGGTAGCAGAGTTGGTTAAGCATTATCCCTATAGCCGAAGTTATGGTTCAACCCTGGCCCAGGACACATAAGAATCAACCAATGAATGCATAAATAAGTTGAACAACAAATCAATGTCTCTCTCTCTCTCTGTCTCTCTAAAAAACGATCAATAAAAAATTAAATACATTTAGAAAAAGAAATTCAGAGTCTCATTCCCCACCCCAGACCTCCTGAATTAAAGTCTACATTTTAACCAGACTCCTGGGTGACTGCACAATGACTGGCTTTTAGCTTTCAAATGGCCAAATATAGTGCATTAGCAGTGATCAAGGGAAGACAGCATATGGGTCACCCCGTAGGTCACCCACACGCACTTCCTGGGGATGGTCTCTGTGCTCTCCAGCTCAGGTTGCAAGGCCATGGCCAGATTACCCCCCCCCTCACTGGGGCCAGGCTTTAAATTAAATTAAATTAGTGGGAGGACACAAAAATGCTCCAAAAAAAGTAAAACCTCTGGTCAGATCTATCTCTAAAACCTTGAACTTAGAGATGATAGTTACTCATTGGCACCATGTGAGACACCAGCAAAACATATTTTTTAGGAATTCTTGGGTTTATACGGCGTATCCTAGCCTGCCTATTGGTAGGCCACTCTCTGCAACCTTGACTGAACAGCACCTCATCTGGTTCTCAAATATTTACCAATAGTGACCTGATTACTGTTCTGTTTTAGGGTGTGTGTGTTAGTTTTTAGTTCATAAGCACACATTTTACTAGGGCTTTCATCCTAAATTATTCCAGCTCTTTTATGTTTTTCAGATCTCTCACACAAAGCTTTCTGCGGATGATGAGTGGAAGTAAGTGATTAGTATATTTTTTGTTGTCATTATACTAAAAACTAGATTCTATCTTAACCGTTTGAGAAATTAAAGGAGGCCATCACTGTATTTGTAAATTTCTCAGGCTAGAGAAGGTGAGTTAGTACAGCTCAGGTTGCAGGGCCTTGGCAGTGTAGAGCAAAATCACAGAGCGCTCTGGGCCATCCCACAAAGTTGGATTTGTATGTCCTTCAAAATAAAATAAGGCAGTGTCAACTTAGTATCTATTTTAGGCAGAAGATACATCTGGTCTTCTTCATATGCTGTTTCCTGCGTTCTGGTACCTATCACGAGGTCATTGGCCCTCTGTGGGCACCACATGAAATGAAATAAAAAAGAAAAGTCCCTCCTTTTTTTGCTTTATTGTAACCAATCATGAATGTATTCCTAATCAAAATAGGAAATACTTACTACATTTGTATACCACTATACTTTCCACAGTAGTTCCACATAAGTTAACTATTTGAGATGCGATTTCAATATATATGCAAGAAATAGATTAATATCATAAAGCATATTTTGTTTTATATCTATGCAGGTCCTATTTTAGACTGATGAGAGATTTACCTTTCTATCTATATGGCCTAAATTAAAAATCAATTCATGACATAGAATATGAAATAGTTATTTTGAATTTGAGGCTATAAAAACTGTCACTAAATTCTTGTACTCTTTTATTCTTCACTTCCCATTTCTTCAGAGGAACGAGTATATTTTTTAATGAGCTTCTAGAAATCATTATTTATCTCCCAAGCTCAGCTTCCAACCCAGAGACCAAGAGACATGTAATTTTACTCAGGATGCTTACCTGAAATGCACTTTAGTGTCTAAGTTTGATAAATAAAGGGTTTCAGTATGTCTTTGGTATCATCCAGCATGAACACTCCAAGATTCCATTTCAAAGAAGCTGAACTCAAGCAGGAATATTTACCAGGCTCTGAGTTCATTTCTTCACATTCTCCAGCAGGGGGCACCCCTGGGATTTGGATGGGGCTTTTTTCCTGAAACATTGCTCTTGACAGTAGCTCTGTAGAACTGCTAGTACAGGGAGAGAACCCAACCCACATACCGACAAGTGTCTTTAAAAGGTCACTGTCTTATGGCACAGAACATTACCTGCAGCGTTTTCTGACTGATACCCTAGCTATATGCACACTGTAACCAGCCATAAGTAGAATCTTGAAGAGATTGTGTGACTGATGGTGCCTCACTGAAGATGAAAGATAATGCTGACCAATATAAAACTGTATCAGTTTTCCAGGGTTACCATAACAAAATGCCACAGCGGACAGGCTTAACCAACAGAAATGTATTTTCTCATAGTTCTAGAGGTTAGAAGTCCAAGACCAAGGTGGTGGTGGTTTTGGTTTCCTCTGAGGCCTCGCTCCTTGGCTTGTGGATGGCCACCTTCTCACTGTCCCCACGTGGTCTTCCCTCTGTGTGAGTTTGTGTCCTGATCTCCTCTTCTTCCAAGGACACCAGTCAGATTGGATTAGCCTGCCCATACGCCCTCCTTTGACCTTAATCACCTCTTCTAAGTCCCTGTCTCCAAATATCACCTCATTCCGAGGCATTGAGGAATAGGGCTTCAACATATGAATTTGGGGTTGTGGGTGGGGAGACGCAGTTCAGCCCATTATATCAACAGTGGTGTTTTAAATTGATGTGGGCATTGAATTGATCATTTGATTCATTTAATTGGTCTGGGGTACAGCTTGGGCACTGTGGTTTTTAAAAGCTACCCATTGGTTTTAATGCACAGCCAAAGTCAAGAACCACTGCGCTAGGCTTTGTTCAAAGCCTCTTCTGCTATAGGAAGTTAAGCCAGATGACATCATCTTAGCGGTTTTCTCTACCATTGTGCAAAACTAAGAGTCCAACTAAAAACTTGCACATTCAGCCATCCTCTAAATGTGGATGCCTAGCTAAGATAATACTTAGGCTTCTTCTTTTCTCCTTATAATAAAAACGATTAATACAATTGGGAGTTTTCTGTAGCTCCATGGATAACATTCTCTCCATAGGTACCAACTGCAGGATATCCTTTTCCTTGAGAATATTAGACATTACTCGAAATTACCAATATTTTACTATTTTTGACTTTCAAA